AAGGACGCCGTCTGGAGAGCTCTGGAAAGGTTGTGGGTGGGTGAGAGCCCCTCTCTCTCATAGTCTCGAGTAAGTGGGTCTTTGCTACCCTATTCCTTTCAGTGCACCCCTTCACATCCCCACCTGGTGACAAGGCAGCCAGCCCGGACGCAGGGCTGGACCGCGACGCACCTACCTGTGACAACGAGCTCCAGGGCGTCACTGGGCGCTGACCACAGGTAGGGGCTGCCGCTCCTCCACCCGTAGCACCTGTAGTGCCCCGCGAAGCCGGCGTCCACAGGGCCCAGAGTGAAGTTTCCCTGGTGTCCCCCGTCTCCGTGCAGTGGCAGAGAAGCCTCCCCCTCCCTGGCCAGTGAAAACCTGTCGAATGGGGTGTGAGCCGAGCCGCACTCGAGGGAAATACTGTCTCCTGGCCTCAGCACCAGGCCCCGATCCGCAGAGAGGAAGGGTTTGTCGTACAAGCCTGAGACAGAAGAGAGGGAGCTGTTAGCAAGATTTTTTCTTTTTTTTGTGTTGTGACTTAGTTTTTATTTTTTAATTTATTTTTTATTTCAGCGTATTATGGGGGGTACAAATGTTAAGGTTACGTATATTGCCCTTGCCCCCCCCCTCTCGAGTCAGAGCTTCAAGCCTGTCCATCTCCCAGATGGTGGGCATCACGCTCATTCTTGTTTTAAAAAGTTACTTTTTCTCGCCCTGCCCCTGCCCGTTAGAGACCCTCTGTAGGCTGGTGGCCTTCCTCCTGCCCCGAGACCTCTCCCCACCCCGCCCGGCCCATCCACGCTGGCGCTGGCTTCTCGTCAGCCCCTTCTCCATCCCCCACCCACTACTAAAAAAAGAAAAATGGAAAAGCTTAGCCACGCGGTGTCGGTGAGAGCACCAGTGAGTCCCAGCTACTCGGTTTCTCCCGCGCGCTGAGACAGGAGGAGGAGACGGAGAGGGCATGGCCCTTCAGACAGGGTGAAAGCATGCTTTCCAAAGAACAAGGAGAAGGCTAGTGGTTTTATGAGAGATGGAGAATGAACACGTATCTGTTCGTGTGAGGAATTTCGTCATCACTGGATAATGCAAGCTCGTAGAAAATCATAAGAGAATAAAATAGAAGAAACACGTGAGTGACAAAACTGGTCCGAGAATCACGAGACAGTTGTGTCAGTGGTTGGCGATTAACGGGTTCCGGTCGACAGGGCAGTGTCAGCTGCCAGAGGGCTTGCAGAGATTTACGACTTTTACCGAGCAAAT